GAAGAAGAAGAAGAAGAAGAAGAAGAAGAAGAAGAAGAAGAAGAAGAAGAAGAAGAAGAAGAAGAAGAAGACGACGGCAGCTGGATGTAAGGCTAGTTTGCTGCCCACCAACAGGGTTCTATGTTCTTTCATTAGTTAGAAAATAATAATACATTATTTATTTGTTATACATGAAAAATAGTCTTTATATAGGACTGGTTCAGATGTTATTTTTTCTTTGTGTGAAAATGCAAAAAAAATCACCCACAGCATTAAATAGACTACCATACATTCAAAATAAAGCCAATTTCCTTTGAAAAGCAGCACTTACTTTAAACTGAGAGAAGTTAACAGTGAATAAATTTCACATGCTCCTATCCATGCTTTAGTACCCTGTAATCTGCCATTGAAGTGAGACGCCCCTTGAGGATCAAAACCTTCTTTCCAGGCATCTTCAATTGATGACTGAATTTTGGGGATGCAAGGAATTGATGTATTTCCTAAAAACAAAAGAAAAATAATTAAATAAAGGCAACATTCCAGTTTCAGTGTGAAAAAAGGAAGAATGGATTGACTACAATTTCTGTTTGGAGGTTCCAGAGTAGGAAAATGTTTACTTTTGTGAGATCAAACAATTCTTCAGGAAGAATGACAAGAGAAGCTTCCTATCAGCTTCCTGCCTGAGACCACACCATGACTGTCAATAAAGACTCATCCTTTGTAGGCTAAGGGGTGCCAGCTCTACAAGAACATATGCAGGCATCCTAGAAGGTGAAAAGAGGTAACTAAAACTCTTCTGTACAGGTCTCATTTACGAAGCCTGCTATGGGAATGAATACTAGACTGATGGTATGAGGACTAAAACTCAGCCCTTGGACATGCAACAAAACTGCTTTGGGGAAAATTCGTCAACTGAAATGCATAAACCTTTGAAGCAGACTGACCAGATAATGACAATGGCTGCTATACACAAGTTGTTCAATCTGTAGTGCTGGCCCCCACACTGTAACTGATTAAACCCCTGCACTGTAACTGAAGAGACCAATTGCCCTTGCTTTTCCTCTCCACAACATTTGCTTTAAGGTACTGTAAAATGCCCAGCCAAGGAAATGCAGGGTTTAACACTCACTCTGCCTTGCACCTGGCCTGAGGGCAGAGGGATCAGGACAAAAATGTATAACAGAACAGGCACACTTCTAAGACTCTGCAGCTGCAGGGCTGGTCCCTTTCTTCGTGGCAGGGGTAGATGCCAAGCACAAGAAACTATGCCTGAAAAGAAAATCCATCTTTTTCTCAGGCACATTTTCCTGTCTTATGCCATGTTTGTTTGTTCATGCTTTGAGGCCAGAGCACAATTGACATGGACTAAGTCCCTGCCTAAAGAGATGCCACTCACCAACAAAATGAGGAAGCTGAAATAAAATTCACACTGTGGCACGACAGCTCAAACAGAAGCTGTACCAGAAACCTGTTGTTTGTTGACCACAGAGGGGTGGGCTAGGAGCTGAGGAAAACAAACTGGTGGTCTTTTCTATCCAACCAAGAGGCTCTTCCCCAAAGTAAAGACTACCTACCACGGAACTAGGGGAAGAGGAACTAGAGACCAAATTGCTAACATGCGCTGGATTATGGAGAAAGCCAGAGAATTCCAGAAAAATATCTACTTCTGCTTCATTGACTATGCAAAAGCCTTTGACTGTGT